GTGAAAATGGTGTGATGCGATATGATAAGATCACATCCTCGAGGCCAGTATTCGCTGCCTCACTGCAAAGGCATTAAAATCTACAACACACTATACGGGTAAGAGATAACAATGCAGTGCAAAACATTTCCACATCAAAACGTTTAACTGACCGACTCTCGTCTCTGTCTATAGGGCAGTGACGATAGACTTCTTAACCGGATGAGAGTGGAGGAAAGAGTCTGAGAGCTGAACGTTGGATGATGGAAACCACTGTGTGATCCTGGTACTAGCACACGCGTCGAAAGTGGATCAAGTATGGAAGACAAGGTAAGAATAGAATTAACGATGGGAACCTTACTTTTGTGGCCAAAAATACAGCTAATCCGCTAGTTGAACATTTGATCGTTCTTTGTCAATTTGACAATGAATACTTTTTTTTTCTGGACAGGACTCAACAGGCCACCCCCACGCTCCGGTGAAGAGCCTGCACATAAGAACAAGTTCCCAGAGTAACCCACAACGCTCTTTCCGTTAACGTGCCGGTGCCTAAAACTCTGAGATTCAAATTCAAGCGGTGAACGTATACCAAAACACCTTCACCAAATACACATTGACTAATCCTGTCCCACTAAATCCAAATCGTAGACATCTGCCCATTGGGAAGCACAGCACCCCCATGAGAAATCAGGGTCGTGTGCACCACACTTAAAGACGCAACAATGTTGTGATATTGAAGTCAGGATAATCCCAACAAGAATCCTAAGACATATAGTGGAGGACCGACTGCAAACTAAATATGAAAACTAATTTCTGAAGTGCAAATACTTCCTAGGGAGTAAAAACCCAATAGCAGCATTGAAATGTAAATACAGACTGTAGAAATGAATAATGTCTTCAAACCCATATCTAGCTTCAAATGTGCAGAAGTGGCCTTTGAATGTGCGTAGATTTACCTAAAATCAAATCCCAATCTAGTGTGAACTGGATGTAATTGCCTAATGTTAGGTTTCTACTTAGAAACAGCGTTTATTTTTATTCTTTTTTTGGCAGAAAATGCGACAGGTTCCAAAAAGAAAAAAGAGAAAAGTAAAACTCGTCGACCCTGTTCCGACAACAGCCCCAGAGCACAGTGAGGCTGGATTGTGTGAATAAACCATTCCCAAAGTCCAAACCATTTTCTTTAAATTAATCCAGAATTGTATATTTACAAGCTTCTCAAGCACCATTAGCTTCCAGAATCTTTCTGTGGCTCCAATACCACACGTGCAGTTTTGGGGGACAGTGGAGCGTGGCCATGTGTTCAACACAGGGTAAGTTATCTGGTTATCATTAAACTAAGAAATTGTATCTTTCTTTGCTAACGAAGATGCAAACATGATGGTTCAATCGGTTTCAGCAGAGAGGGAAGTCAACTGAATGCTCATAACAGTGATGAGAGCGAGGAAAGGAAGTTCAGCAAACCCCCCAGAGCAGCATGACCTCTTCGACGTGAAGGACACGCCGACAAATGGATTTTCACGTATTCTTTTTCAACCAACGCACAGAGCGCACAACATTTGTTTACTGGTTAACTATTTACTAATAAAGTTCATGAGTTTATAAATCGTGGTTTGTTACTAGGAAACAGTCCTATAAACAAGACCATCTGTCCATGCTAAATAAACGCGTGAAAAAACAACTCTCTGCATATAGAACTGCGTCAGTTGCTGCAATAAACTCCTGAAACACAACATATCATTAAGCATTTATTTGTTTATTTTCCTCTGCAGTCGATGATCCGACCGAACCAGGTGAACACCAAGCATTCACGCAGGAATCCGACGTGTGCTGGTGCTGATGAATTAAAGGAGATTGACAGAGCTCAAGAAGAAAATCATAAAACAATTGTGACAAACCCATATTTAATCATCAACGAACTTGCAATCTGGAGATGGTTTAGTGGGGTATTTGGGCAATAATATAATAAGTGAGGATATGCATTGGTTATGGAAGTGAGCGTGGCAGTACATTGGCGTCGGTTACAGAGAAAGTAACATAGTGGTGAGGGGTGGCAGGATAGGAAGCGGGGAATGAGGCCAGAAGAGCTGTGTCTTGGTTTTATGTTGGATGTGGTAACAAAAAAAGCTTTGAAGTTACCAAGCTCCCTAAAGCGCGGCCTGGCAAGTGTTACCGTCAGGATTATGGGATACTTTACAGCATTGTTCCTTTGGCAGAATTGTGGCAAACGACCGGTGAGCATAATATTACTACCAGTACTATTAAATATGACATTACAAATATTACGCTTTATAAGGAAAAACACTCCTGGAATTATCAGACACTAGAGTCACGTTACATATACTACACTGCCTGTTATGTACAATATAATTGATTGTTTGGATATATGTCTAATGCAATTATTCAAGGTAAATAATAATTACTTTTTTAAGTGTTTTATAAAAGTCAGGGGGTGCATAATCCAATATAAACATTGTCATTTATCTCTGCTCACCGAATGCCAAACTATTGGAAGCTTAAGGTTTACTCTACTTCATACATCTATGCATTTTCCTTCATAAAATGGATCTAATGTAATATTGTTTGTTGTTTTCAATATTTGAAAATCCACTATAGTAATCGAACAGCTGTGTTAATCTAAATAAATCCCTGTAGAACAAAGAAACAAGACATAAAAACTCACTTTTAATAATATCATGTATCTGTTGCAAGCAGAAATACCCAGATGCTGTCAAGGAGTGAGGATCTGAGGCATGACGTCAATTGCCAACGACTCAAATCAGACTCGATCAGGTGTGTTCAAAATAAAGAAGCGTGTTACTGGGGAAATTTTGCACAGTAATGAAAACAAGGGAAAAAAACACTCCTTTCGAGAAAAGACAGGAACAGTGATCAATAACGTAATCCGTGAGAAGTCCGTGAGGTAAGCGGAACGTAGGTCATAGAGAGACAACGAACATGACATGAAGCCAGGAGGCGCTAACACAATATATATATCAACGGTAGAAGGGGACGCAGGTGGGAAACCAATCCAGGGCGCGGGGAAAGTAATCAAGGACGCCAGGAGACAGAAGGCGGGCGGGAGCGGAGGCCTGAAATGAGAGGGAGAATTAATTAAGCGGAATAAACAATAAAGCACAGGACAGAAGGACCATGACGAAACTAACATAAAGAATAAACTTGTCACTATAGAGTTTCTTAGACATGACAGATGGCAGGCTTCCTCGAAGTGAGGATTCAAAGTGTAACCAGATGTGTGGAAAGTGAACTAAATTGCATTAATTCAAGTTACTGGTACTAAAATACAATTTTGAGATAGCTTGTACTTTACTTGGAGTATGGTCCATGTTAGCCTGCAGCTGTTATACTTTGTAACCAACTACAATCAGAGGTTAAATTGCGGCTACTTTGATTCCACTACAAATTTATTTAATATTCCTAGCTTCCTTTGCACATTTTGATTAATGATGTGAAAATATAATCAGTGGTTAAATCAAGATTTACTTCCACCTGGAGTAAAATTCACAAGCTACCTGTATACAAAGTCATTCCAACTAGCTGCACCTTTACCAGCTTTGAGAACACTTTAATGATCAATCATTAACAAATATCATATATATTATCCTGAAATGGACCAATCTGCAAAAGGACTACTTTTACTTTTCGTACTTTAAGTTTAGTTTGATGTGAATACTTTTATACTTTTGCTTCAGTAACCTTTTTATTGGAAGACTTGTGCGTGTTGTAACAGAGTATTCCTAAACTCTGGTACTTCTACTTTTACTCAAGTACACGATCTGAGTACTTCTCCACTTCTGAGTGTGACCTTACTGAAAAGATCATGTTGTTATTTTCATTCCTGGTTTTGTTGCGTGAGCAATTCACGTGCAATCTGTGACCTTCCCTGAAACGAAAGTGAAAGAAAAGCTTCTTTAAAAAGAAAACCTTCACATCGGTTTCTGAGTAAGAGACATTCAAGTGGATTTAATAGAACTATAAAGGATATCGTTTCAGTACCCTTTTTTTCTTTTTATTTCCGTTTTTGAAACAGCCTTGTTGTTATTAGGACAATATTTCCTAACATCATGGTGAGTCTTCGTCACGGAATCACTTAGACTCTAAAAGTGTCTTTGTGATGTGAGATGAACATATTTATATTTGTTTCTCACAGGAAAATGCTGACGAGATGAACCATTGGCAGGAGACTGCAGGTTTGTATGATATTTAGAATTCCTGAGTGACTTCTTAGTACCTGAAGTGTGCATCTTAGCCTTTCAGCTAACTGCTTCCTATCAGGACTGTCGACGTTTCCAAGAAACAAATACTTCAAATTGGAGTATAACATGATTAAAAAGTATGAAAGAGTGATAGAGTACATGGCAATAATATGACATATTTCGATGAAGTCAGATATAACTTGGGTACTTTTTTAACCTTTCGACTAACTTTATTAGCACACTAGTGTCAAACATTAATCTGAGTTGTCAAAGCTCTTTGTCATCAATAGAGCAGATAGATAATGAGATCCCATATGTTGTTGTTTTACAGTCAATGGGAAACATTATGAGTGGCAGCTGTCAAATGGACATCTATGGCTGCCAATCGACAATGACCATGTGATCGAGACCCACTACTGCCAACCTGGAGCTAAAGGAATCACCATCAACTTCAAACATATGTTAGTGTTTTACTCATCTAAGATTTACAGTTTTCAGCATTTTTTAAAGTCATAATTATTATATATATTATACGTTTGAAAAATTGCAGCCTGTCATCCAGTATTTAGATATCTTTTTTATTTTATTTGCATTTTAAGAAATTATTTGATTACAACTCGTACATAAAATAACTACATAACAATCCAGAAATCAGGAAACATTCAAAAAAAAATCATGAAATGGTCGTTGCATGTGTTTTGTGTTCTATAACTCACCCATTTTTGCCATCGGTCATCAAAGACATGATTCTAATGGTTATTTTTTCCATTCCTTAAATGTAATCTACTAGATTTTTCCATTGCGAGTTGATTAACTTATTACCTTTTAACAAATCCCTTGTAATTTGTTCAATACCTGCTATTCTTATTACGAAAATAAGTAGGAATCTTTGTTTTTCCTCTGTCCTCTGGTAAGTTAGTTCTTGTTTAGAGAAATGCCAAAAACATTTCTCTTATTGTATTTAGATTCTTAAGGGAACACAACTACATTGGTCATGAGGATGGTGACAAATGATAGATTACTCAGAAGTATGTGGTGTTATAACATGCCGTATAACATCTTTTTACAATCCAAGAAATATCTCAAACGTAATCCCATGTGTCTCCACAGGAAGGTGGTCATAGACTTTGATAAACTGCTGACTCAGAATGTAGATCTGAAGGTGCAGAGACTGAGTTTCCTCCCTCAGGGCCAGACGGAGGACGTAGGCTGGTACTTCAGAGATGACCAGCTGTGGAGTGAATTTGGATCCCAGGTGAGGGAAATCCCAGGCAACGACCATTACTGTACATTTATTCTAGCTGTGGAAGAAGTATTCAGATCCTTTAAAGTAACAATGCAGCAATGTAGAAATACTCTTTGCAAACCTTAAGTAAAAGGACACAACAAAACAACGACATGTAGTCATACACAAATCTGTTTTAAGGTTTTGGACTTTCTATCCTGTCCTTACATTTTGGTGAGATTTTTTAATTTTTAATTTATCCAGATAAAAGCATTGAGATAAAATCTCATTATTCAATACAATTATTTGAACATGCATTGAAAAAGAAAAATAATCACATAAGTGGAACTCATTGAATCAAATGTGGCCCTGACTATGACGTAAATAAGGTAGCAACACAACAAAATTCCAGTAAAGTCCAAGTACCTCAAAGGTTTACTTAAGAACAGTTTTTAGTAACACGCTTTCCTCCCCAAGATCTCCAACATGCAGTCCTCGTCCATCAGCAGTGGAGATGTGGAGCGTCAGTTCACTCTTAACCCTCGAGGGTCTTTCAACTTCACAGTGGGCTCCTCAAGCTACTCACTCGACTTCTCAAGTATGGGATATTTTTTATCTTTTTACTCTTGTGAGCTCAATAAATTAAATATATGTGTCTTTATTGATCTAACCGATTTTATTCGGCAGCCATGACACAAACAAACTGCGTCACAGGCCTGCGCAGAAATCTACGAAGGCGTCCAAAATTCACTTTCAACGCAGAGAGGTGAGACTTTATCTGTAGGAATCATAAACTTATATTTGACTTGTTTACATGTTTAAATATACACAAAATATGACTAGAGAGGGAATTTCAGTAGTTAAACCCTGAATAAAATGTGTTTTTTTCTGCAGCCGTTCCTCCACTTCAGCTTCCTCCTCCCAGCTCACAGATGGAGGCTACAGGTGGGAGTTCATGGGAGAAGAGGGTATATGGACTGAGTACAATGCACATGTAAGTAAGGCTTCTAACCATTTTTTACTTTCTGCCCGAAACACTAACTTTATTAGTTATGATTAGTTGAATATATTTAAAGGTCCCATATCATGCTTTTCCGGTTATTACCCGTCCCCTTGTGTGTTATGTAGCTTTTTCTGCATGTAAACAGTCTGCAGAGTCACAAACCCTCAAAGTATACCCTGTAGCGAGTAAAACTCTAATGCAGAAAAAAACTGTCTATGCTGCCCCAGAACGCCTCGTTGGAGATGCCCCAGAACGCCTCGTTGGAGATGTCCAAATGGACCAATCCGCGTAGCCGTTACGTTCGCGGATTGGTCCATTTCTCAGCCTGAGACGGCGGGACGCGGCGAGGCTGTGAGTCTGTGTGTGAGCATACACAAAGACTCACAGCCAGGCTGCGGGTGTGTGTGTGTGCTCTGGCTGGTTTCGGGCTGGGTTTCGCTGTGTCTCGCTGTCTCGCCAACCCCACGCAGCAACCAGGAAACCACACCAGTAAGCCAGCTCACACTGTCCGCTCCTCGCAGCAGCGAACCAGACCCCACACAGTGTTCTCATCTGTTTGTCATTACTGGTGTCATTTTCTGGTTGCTAACGCCATTGTAACACATAACCACTGATGTTCCGCTGTAACGGTGGTGGACTCATCAGAACAGAGTGGGCGAGCTGACCAATCAGAGTCCACTGGGCTCACAGGGAGGGGGGGGGAGGCAGGAGCTCCAACAAGCCGTTTAGGAGTGAATACACATACTATACAGAGATGCTGTATGAGAAACCAATGTGAGTTTGGAGAATTGCACAATATAAATCTATTCTAGTAGACCTCAACAATGGAATTATGATCAGTAGAAATGGCCATGACATGGGACCTTTAATTTGTCTGGTGAATAATATAACAGTTACAGCGGCATCTGGTGGTCAAATTACAAATGCTTGGACTCTGCTTCCCTCTATTAAATGGACCTATGTTTTCTATTTGTGTGTAGGTATGTTCATTTGATAGCACTGCCCTTGAGAGACAATACCAGCTGAATCCTCAGGGCCAACTTCCCTTCAAGATCAGAAGATTTTCCTACACGCTCAACTTCTCTAGTAAGGAACACAAATACAGCTACACAGCCACTCCTGCTAAACAAAACAATCAATCGTTTTGCTTTAGTAGAGGAGAGCAGTTTGAATTGCCATTTAAACCCTGTACGCTTGTCTGTCGTAGGCATGAGTCAAGTCAATGACACGATCGGGACCAGGAGAGCAGTGAGGAGGACTGCTGACTCTGGGAGTCAACAGGACAGCAGGTCAGGAGATACATTTCACCCTTAAACCACCACCATAATAATCATTAATAACCTTTAAACACATACCATACTTCTTATTTGAATTAACCAAAGTCCCCTCATTTGAAAATATACTATACTAGAAAGTATATTGCCATTTCAGGGGTGCCTCTTAATTAATACTATGTTCACCTTCCCAATAATTCATTTGGTTTGTGTTATTAAGTAGAAAGGGGTCAAAAGACAAACAATGAAACCCAATTACACCTTAAAATGAAAAAACATTATTAAGAAGTGAAATGTTCCTTATTCCCTTCTCATTTGTAAATACATTTTCTGCTAGACTCATGTCTCTGTCTCTTATGTGCCAAATCTGCCTGGCAACACCAGCTCATTTAATGTGGCAGTAATATGTGAACAGTGTATGCTCCTGTGAATATTTTCCACTTATATTATTCTATTCTGCAGTTTGGGCACTTCACCACGATGGCAGTTTCAGGATATCGGTGGAATATGGAAAGAATATTCAAATTCCAAAAGCAGCATTTCCAGTCAGGACATTGAGCGGCAGTACCAACAGACCCCGTCAGGCTCCATGAAGTTTACCGCCAACAGGTTTAGCTATGAGCTAAACTTCTCAGGTGTGCTAAAGTTCTGTTTTGTAATGTCCCCCTTTCAAAATAAGATGGTAATTTCACAGTAATTAATCATTCTGTTTATCAGGAGTCTAAATGTGCATTGTTTTCTCTTTTCGCAGCCATGACTCAGAAGAACATGTCCACAACCACCACCCGATCAGTGAGGAGGCTCACCCAGTGATTGTGTGACGTCAACAGATGTAGAAGTCGTCTTAATGTTGATCCTCACACTGACCTCACTTCATGCCTCAGGTTGTCTCTCAATAGAATTATTCTGCACTGATTTTCAAACTGTCTTTCATTTTGCTTATTGAATGACACAATAGGATTACTTTAAACATGAAGTTGTCAGGGATTGTTCATATTGACTAATTTAAAGGGGACCTATCATGCAAAATGCACTTTCTCACGTCTTTTATACATGAATCTGTGTCCCCGGTGTGTCAGGGAACTCACCAAGTGTCTGAAAACACAACCCTCTCTATTTTCCTCCATACCCAAATCTCTAAAAACGGGGCTTTCACGGATCTGATACAGACTGATACAGATTTGAAATATCTCTGACGTCAGAAACAAGGAGCTCCGCCTATATGGGCAACTCTCCACCTATCAGAGGAATGGGGGGTTGCCATGGCATGGCAAAAGCATGGCAACAGCATGGTAAAATGATGCTCGTGCCTCGCCCCCCTCCTTTGCAGGGGGCATGGTCAGCTGCAGCTCATTTGGAACAGAATCACCCCTTGCAAAAACAGGGCTGGAAAAGAGCAAATAGAGCGAAATGAGGCATGGCTAAAATGCATGATCTGTTTGGTATTTTGAAAAAAAACTTCACAGACATGTTTTATATAGGTATGGCCCTACAACATATTATTCAAATATAGCATGATAGGTCCACTTTAACTTATCCCCTCTAGTGCCTTATATTGGCATTGCTTTCTATGATTAGATTTAGAAGCTTTGGTTAGGTTACTTTAAGACATCATAAAGATACGTTTTTTGGGTTTTAATCAGGTTGCGTTCAGATGAAAGGGGAACTCCACTGATATGACATTGCTCTGTCTGTTTACAGGTATTGGGGAGCACTCTTGCTTATGTGGATAATGTTGTATAAAGCTTTTGGGACTCCAAATATAAGTTAAATCTGATCAAAATTGACTCGAGCGATGTCACTTAAATAAAAAAATAGAGTCAGTTGGCGCTAAAGACAATTTAAAACATCTTGGGGTGTTGAGAACTTATCTTTGTTTGAGGCTTCAGCTTCAGGCTACAATAGCAGCAAGAAGCATAACACTGCCAAACCTTTGACCAGAATGTCAACCGCCAAGTTGCATTGTGGGTAATATAATCACAAGTGCATGAAATAAAAAAGAAATACCTTGTGTTCTGCTGCATCGACTAGGATTTATTTTGTTTAAAACTGTCCGGCAATATTATAGCACAGACATAATGAATCAGGGAAGTACTATTAATGAAAGAAAAATACCTCTTTTTAGCATCCTAACATGTTTATGATTCATGAATACTGTCTTTTAATCAGGGTTCTTTAAAAAAAAAAAATATATATATATATATATTGTTTACCTTTTTTACCTTGAACCAAAAAGTTGACTTAGATGTATATTTAAAGCTGTCTGCTAATGTGCATAAACATTTCAAAAATACTGCCATTTCTGCACTTCATTTCTACATTAAAGTGATTTAAACTCCACGGTCTGATGCAGTGATTCAAGCCATCACACAAATAACCAGCAGCCTTTGAGAGGTTCGATTGTGTACTTTCCTTTATATGTACAGATTTTCAGTGAACCACCTCAGAGACCAGCACCTCAACAAGTAATAGAAGGGCAACACTACACACATATCGACAGCAGTGGTATACAAACAATCTCATAGAAGAATAAGCTTTCTGCTTTGGAGTTCTGCTAGGATAATGTGACGCACGCTTCACAGATCACATCCACTTGAGATGAAATCAAAACCACCACACAATTTACGCCGAATCACTGAAACATTTGTAGTCTTGTATGACAAAGATTGGGGAATGTAGAGTCAAATTCACACGGCCATGCGGATTGAAGGAGCTCACCTTGTTAAAGAGGCATTAATACACAGAAAGGAATCCAGTAACAAACGGCGTATTAACAATCACTGAACACACTGTGACCGAGGTTCATCTAAAAACCCTAAAGTGGTGTAGTTATCTTCCAAAATGTAAGATTTAGAATGAGTACACATTTTTAGAAATCTGACAATCCTATGTAGTTTTCTTTCTGTCGGGTGGAGATTAATGTAAGGAGCCATTCCATGTTCACGCTTAACAACCAAAGAGGATTATTGCACCAACTCATCTAAGGCCTCTCAACCATTATCACAGGGATGTAAAAATGCCAAGGCCCTCACAGAGCAACCCATCTTTAAATAACTATATCATATATACACTTCTTCATAACCAGCACTGGTCCTCAGACAGCTGAAAAGTGCTGAAAATATATAGCGATCATCTTTATCATTGTATAAACTGGTCAACAGGAAGGAGGATTTGGAGACGCTTATAAACTTCCAAATAGTTTTTCACTGGAATCTTTATCGGAAAATAAGCTTTAGATCTTTTGTGGTCAAGTTCAGTAGCATGCGACAAAGCAAGTAATTTGAGAAGCAAAGACAGCGGGTTAAAAAGTGAAATTATTAATACTTGAGTAACAGATGAGCGCTGTCTGTCTAATCCTACACATGTACCCATGTAAGGCACAACAGCCTAAGCAGTGCATGTGGTCCTTCACGTTTGCCTTTAGCATTAGCATCTTTTTAAAGGACGCCGCTGTAATAGCTACTCCACACATCCCATTCCACTAGACACATAAATTGTCCATACTGCATTTCCAGATGTTTTAGTTACCAGAGGAGGTGAAAGGTTCGTCACCAACCAGAGAACAGTAACCCTTCCCTTTTCAACATGCTTGCTTGGAAGTCGAAACAAACAAATAAGAGCATGTTTTGCAGCTTTTAAACCTGATGTTGAAAGAATAAGACAAAAGGGTAAAAAAAAAAAAAGAAGAGCAAACTGGATCATCAGTCCACTCTGAGGTGCTGCAGAGACACAGTTACCATGGAGACGGACTGCAGTGGGGCTACCTCTCTCATCTAAACTGCGACTGTTGGGCTTTCTATTTTCCTCATTTCAGATTGTCCCTGGAGGAGCTTCCTGGATGCAGATCAGTGCTACCCTCCCACTGGGCTCTGACATTTTTTTTTAAGCCAACTCTCTGATCCCTTTAGACATGCAGCCAATCCTAAAATAGTCCGGATAAGCAATAAAGATACAGCAGCATGAAACTGAGCAGAAGCCACTTTTTTCCTTCTTTTTCTGCCAATTTTGAGGGGTGATTCAGCCACTCATGATATGAACACAAAACTCTCCTGAATTAACTGAGTTGGGATTCATCTCAACTCACGACGTTGGGACGCCCGAGAATGTCAAGTAGAAAATCAGTAGGAAACCGCAGCATGTAAAGAAACACAGCTTAGAAGAATTAGTACCCACCCCAGCCTTTTGTCCTTGTGGTCAAGTAGAAATTGAATCAGGCGCAGGTTAATTTGCCAGCCGAATGTGAACAGAATTTATACTAGATCATGTTTAAAAATACACACAGCAACGCCCTTGATCGGATTTGAAATCTTCACATTCAATCAGTGTCTTGTCCAAGGTTCTTTTATCCAAAGTTACTAAAATAATATGTTTAACCTGGCAATCTAGCCGAACAAGTCTTTCAGATCGTTGTTGACAGATGCGCTATGTTTAATTCCACTTTGGTCCAGGGGGCTGGGGGCAGCAGCGGAGGGTGGAGCAAAGTTCTGCGGGCTGAAAAAAGGGTTTGCTTGCATCCCGAAGCTGCTGGGCACCCCTCCCATAGCAACAGGAGCAGCGTGCATCTGAGTCTGAGCGTTCTGGGCCGAACCAAACTGATTGAGCCACGGGGCGTTGGTGCTGGGCGGGGCCATTTGGTTGAGGGTGACTTTGGGCTGGCTGGGTTTAAAAAGACTGTCCAACGCTGACAGATCTTTATTGGTCTGCCCGAGGGGTCCTTGACTCTGCGTCAGAGCTCCGAAGTTGGGGGTGCTGGTGGTGGTTGCCATGCCGCTGTAGAGGCCGGGGCCCGCAGGACGCATGCCCATCCCCATGCCCCCTGCCTGGAAGCCCATGGACGGGTTGAAGCCGTTGGAGACCGGGGCGCCCATGGAGCCCACCATGGGGCCGGGGGAGGGGAAGGCAGCGATGGTGGAGCCCTGCATTGGGGAGGGGCGAGCCGTGTTGGCCAATGAGAGGCTGTTTAGCGAGGTCATGTTGTTGAGCAGGCTGCTGGTCAGATCTTTAGTCTGCAAGAAAAACAAGATGCGGGTTTAAACTCATCAAATGTTTTATAAGGAGACCCTGTGAGGCAACAGAGTATGAGAAATGTTGATGATATATTGTTTTGGAGTCAGATTTCATTATGTTGTGGCTTAGGAACGGATGGAGAAAGAAGAGTTTCGCCTGCATGATTTTGTACATATATTTTGTGAACACTAACCCCGGCATGGAGAAATCACCTGGAAATAAACCATGAGAGATTTAAGTCCTATTTATGACATGGGGTAGTAGCAAACACTTATCAACTAGAAAAATGTAAAATGTTCCCCATACCAATTTAATTAAGGGCTTTAGAAATATCATGTAGGCAAACCTTTTCTCACCTGTACTCAAGTCATAATTAGAGGAGGGAAAACTATTTAGATCAGTCTTAGAAAAATGGATTTCCACATTCGTCTTTCCCTCGGTTGCCTCTCCGTATTTAGTTTTCTGTTCTTTGTGCACACAGATGTTTTGAGGCGTTACCTTGGTGTTGGAAGTGTTGGCTGGTTTGATGCTCTGAGGCGCTAACGGCTGCTGGTTCCTCAGCTTGGCGGCCTGCTCCTGCTCCTTAGCCAATCGCTGCTTCTCCTCCAGAGTCAGAGACATCTATGGGGGGTGCAAAACAAGAGACACCATGGAGAAATTAGACTGGTACCTAAAGGTGGACATTTCTGGATATTAGGTATGACATTGTTTTCATACTCTATTAGGCTGTGGGGCGGCTGCTGCAGGTCCATTCTCTTTCCCATTAACCCCTGAGGAGCCGAAGATATCATCAATCTGAGAAAAGACACATTTCAATTGAATTTTGCACCACAGAAAGGTATAAAACAAGAACTTCATTGTAAAAAAATGGTGTTCACACAGTACTTTAAATATAATCTCATGTTGTCATAGAAACACCCTCTCACCTGGTTGCTGCTGTTAGGAGAGCTCTTGTTCATCTCTGTCTGGTTCCCTGGGTTTGGGATGTTTATACTCCTGTTAGAAGAGACACAATGAACTGAATCAGGGAGCGAAAGGATTTGAACGGAGGCATTCATAAGAGCATGGTTAGTCGTGCCATTATCATATTCATGTGGCCAGGATCAAATGCTAATTGCTTTCTGAGACAGATCCATTACCCCAGATAATAGTTTGTATAAAATCCACATTAATATGTATAACCATTTCAGATTTAGTCAGAGAGATTCCAAAGGAGGATATAGTGGGGGGTGATTAATTAAATGTGACACACACCTCTGCTGCTCCTGCATGCTGTGCAGCTGCTCCAACTTGGTCTTGTGTTCGGCCTCCATCCGATTCAGCATTTCCCGAATGACCGCCATGAACGAGTTAAACTGGGATGAATTGAACAATATTACATAAAAAGGGAACAAAAGCAATTCTGCAGATGATCAAAATATGTCGCATGTGTGTTGTACCTGGCTAAGGTTGAGGTTGTTGTCTATACTCAGAGAGACCAGGTGGGGCAGGCTCTTGGTGGCAAGGTGTTCTTTGGGGATGCCCAGCTTCTTGTGGCTGAAGGTGCACTTATAGATTCCTACAAGAATTCAGAAGTCAAATAACCAATCATTAAGTGTTTAAAATATGCCAGTAAGTAGTGATGCACACAGGGACATATATGTGACTTTTTATTTGTTATTTAGCAGAGGTGGGAGAAGAGATCTTGTAGTTAAGTAAAAGTAGAAGTACCAGAGTGTAGGAATACTCTGTTACAACTTGTACAAATTCCTGCATTCAAAATGTTACCTGAGTTAAAGTACAAAAGTATTAGCATAAAAATATACTTAAAGGTGACCTATCATGCAAAATGCACTTTTGTACGTCTTTTACACATGAATATGTGTCTCCGGTGTTCCAGAGAACTCACCAAGTGTCAGAAAACACAACCCTCTCTATTTTCCTCCATACCCAAATCTCTTAAAAAGGGGCTGCAACGGATCTGATACAGACTGATCCAGATTTGAACACTTCTATGACGTCACAGAAGTGGCGCTACGGCTATTGGGCCAACTCCACCAATCAGGAGGAGACAGCCACGGACATTGCCGTTGGAAAGCGCTGGAGACGCTGTAGTACATATGCCAGGCCTGTAGATGGCGCTGCTCTCACAGAATCAGCCCATGATGCAAAGACAGTGTTACATTGAGCGAAATGAGGAATGGCTAAAATGCATGATCTATTTGGTATTTTGAAAAATAAAAAGTATAAATATGCCTTATATAGGTATGGTCCTACACTATATTATTCAAATATAGCATGATAGGTCCACTTTAAAGTACCAAAAGTAAAAGTAGTCATTATGCAGATTGGTCCATTTCAGAATAATATATATGATATGTTTTATAATTATTGATCATGAAAGTGTTCTCAAAGCTGGTAAAGGTGCAGCTAGTGTTAATGACTTTGTATACTGCAGGGTAGCTTGTGGATTTACTCCAGGTGGAACTAAAGTCTGATTTGAGAGTTGATTATAATTCAAATCATTAATAAAATGTTGAAAAGTAACTAAAGGTATTAAATAAATGTAGTGGGTAGAAGTACAAAATAGCCAAACAATTGACTTAAGAGCAGTGCTTGAGTAAATGTACTTAATTACTTTACACTACTACTTTCTAGTACGTTTTAATTAAATCGCATGTTAATAACAAAACGTCTATTTAGACATTTGCATTTTTCTCCAAAACTGCATCAAGACATCCTCTTACTTTTCCTCCAACAAATACAAAAATTAAAAATATCTCAATTTTCTAGATCATTAAAATTCAGCTACGTAAAAGAAAGAAATGCAGTAAATCATACTTTATCTAATGTTTTTTACTTAACGAAAGGAAGCTAGTCCAACATATTTTTTATAACAAACTGTTACAACTGCTTAAGGACTTGTAGATGTCTTCTTCACTTCAATTTGACATCATGATCTCTGTGTGGCTGTTTTTTTATTTAATTTTTTTTAACAGGTATCTGAGCAATGGCTGATAGATCAGCTTATCTCTAGTAGAAGTTGAGTGGAGTGTGGCTTGTCCTTTTTCTTTACCCAGAATCCCCATGAGTACTGCTGGTTCTCTGGAGGGGATCTGTTGTAGGAAGGGCAGGATCTCATCGATGACGTACCACTTGTCAAGATATTCCAAAATCTTCCCCAGACACACCAGGGAGTTCACTCGTACCTACCAAGAACATGGAAAGATACTTAAAACATCTAAATACATTTGAAACTCAATCATTTCAGTAGTTGGTAGAAGAGTAGAATAAAGGTGTTACAAAGGGACAAGGTCAACAGTATAGACACCTAAAAGGAATCACTATAGAAACACTATTGTTGCCTGGGAAACAGTACAAGCTGAGAGCAGAAAATGTTGATATTGGAGACTCACAGCAAGTGAAGAGGTCTGTAGGCATGCAGATTTGATTCGAGGGATGAGAGCGTTCTTCATGGACGGGTAGTCGATCAGGTTGGCAAACGTTGGGATGATGTTCAGGCACAGCTCCTGCTCAGCCATGGACAACACATAAGTTAGGAAATCTGACATTTATATGATGCCAATGCATCAAATCTAACTATGCTCTGAAAAGCAGCACTGAAAACACAAGTATGCCATGTTCAGTAATTGATTTAGTGTTGACTTCTCTGCTTTAAAGGGTCTCCAACTGCCTGAGTTTACCTGAAACTCAGCAAAACGTCAAATTCTAAGCAGCCCTACCCCCCCATACCTGGATCTGTACAGAAGGCGCTTCCAGGGCTCTGTAGACCATCGGCAGCACGCTGTTCTTAATCTCCTCTGAGGGGGTCTTGGTCAATAGCAGGTCCATCTTCTGAAGGAATATCAGCAGGATCTGCGCAGCACAGGGACTCAGTCAGGAAAACAAAAGCTCATGTTGTTCTCTACATATGACTGAAGTAGTAAATGGAAGAGGCGGGGCTATAGGTGGCTGATGATGAGCATTAATTTAGACATACAACACAAACTAGTGACTGGAGCATATTCACAGCAAAGACCACTCACCATGTTACTAGCCTGAAGATGCATGGGAAGAGAAATACAGAGAGAGACAAGTCTTGATAAAGTGACAGACCAAAGCCAAACAAAGCATGCTCTTTAGATATATTTAATCAAATCCCCAAAACAAATGCCAAAGGGGCGAAATGATCATGCAAAGATTTAAAGAGGGAAAGCACATTCTAGCCAAAGCTTACAAACAATAGTCGTTTTTAACGCTTGTTTCTGTGAGGGTGTACCTGAATGGGCTCCTGCTGCTTGAAAACAGGCGTGAGGTCGGGCATGATGAGCCGGACGTACTCCTCCTTGGTGCACTGCTCTGCGATCAGCAGCACGTTGGGCAGCACGAAGGGAACCATGTCCGGGTTCACAAACTCTGAGGTCAGAGCCGGAAGGATCCGATACACCACCACTCTCTGAGAGACATGAGTGGGTCACAGAAGCCATGAACGAATACTCAGACTGTAATACTGCATGTTCATGATGAGTTCTCAAGGGACCACATTAAGGGAAGACAAAACAGGAACTAAACATTTCAAGAAACTGTTCAAGAAATTGACTCACAAGTGCATGTTTTTGTACTGTGCCAGTTAACACACATATAAACAGAAATAGAAGCACTGAAAGCATCATTACAGTAACATCAGTTATTCAAAAAGTTGGACCTCAAATGGATCTAAACATGCAGTACCCATTCAGTAAACACATTTAGAACATATTGCAGTTTAGGTAACACTAGATGTTCTTTTAAAAGTTCTGATACAACAGGGAATGATAGGTCTGAAATCAGTAGTCCTTTTGGCTATTTTTATTAAATTCCGAAAAAAACACTTTTGACCTGATAAAGGTTGCATTCCCTGTACAAAATGTACAAGCAGTTACCTTGGGGAGTTTGGGCAGGACTTTAGGGAGGCCTTTGTAGAACTGGGACTTCTGTAGATTGTCTCTCTGGAAGAGGGAGTCAAAGTACTGCAGGGTCACAGCACCCACGTCGTCAAAAAATGGAATCTGAACAAAACACACAAAAACAGAACGAGAAAAATGTGTCCTTAAAGAAAATGCAGATCAAATTAGATATCATCTACATAAGCACACACACTTTATTTGTATCTCCAGACATGTAGTGCCAACAGTGCAAACCTTAGTCATCTGATCAGCATCCGGTCGCACGTTGGGTGTGACGCTGAGCAGCATCTTGACGTGTTCCCGAACCTCCTCTGGGAGCTTGTTCAGCACTGCTGGACTTATGCTGCTCAGCTAGAATTGAAAAACATAGACGGAATGGATCACAACAGAGATGAGAACCAGTGTTTTAGTGGCAAAAGTAAAAAACTCTTGAGATATTCTTAAAAATCAAGTCCTCAGTAGCTTGTCCTGACGTGTGTCCATTTTATCTTAGCTCCACCCACCTGGTCCAGTTGCCTGCTGAAGCTCTTGAATATGTCGTGCTTGTTGACTTGGAAAACAGGCTTGCCCTCGTTGAAGACGGCATGCATGACCACGCCCAGCGAGTACATGTCGGAGGCGGAGTCACAGCTGACGGACAGGATGTACTCGGGGGCCAGGTACTCGGGGTTAGGGAGGGAGAGTGGGGGGAGGTTGGGCTCCCACTCTTTACATGTGTACTTAGGCTGAGGAAGACGAGAGAACATGAGGAGATAAAGATGTGACAATACTCCAAAATGTTAATTTGGTAGAGCATTAGAAATCTAAGTGATCCAACACACCTCAGCGTCTGAGGGGTTGTTGGAGGAGATGCTGAAGTCAAAGCCCATGATCTTCCAGGCTCCGCTCTTGTTCAGGATGATGTTCTCTGGACACAGGTTGCCGTGGACCATTTTCACCCCGCTGTGGAGAAAAGACAATCCCTCGGAGATCTGAGGGGAAGGAGGAATGAAGATGTCAGGGTTTGGTGTTAAAGGGTGAAACAGTTTCTGTTATAACTACAGGATTAGTACATGGTTTCTATGGCAGTCATCACTTCCTTATCTTATATAAGCTGTGGAAAAGGCAAGAAATCTGTAATTAAGATCATATGGGAACACACGTGAGAACACAATGAGGTCTGATATACTTCAAGGAGAGGCGTGAAATGGAGCTGGTACAACTGTACTAGCATATGAATTCATATTAGACTTTCCAATGCAGACATTTTTGTAGTTCGTGATTTAATTTAGCCACTACTTAGGAATCACCGTTTGATAGAGATGTAAAAGCTTAGAAATTCACAAGTTGGGTTTGAACAGACATATTTTAGTTCATAAAACAAAAGTGAAAACTCTTAGGCTTGTTTTCACCACAGAGCATCCTTCAGGCCTCTAACCAAAAACCCACTAACTTCAGACTTGTTCGTGCAAGCGTGTTCTCATTTAACAACGTTTCAGTATACATCTGACAAATGGACACTAAACCAAAAACTAGAACTAAACTGTTATTTGCCAATGAGCAACAGTGTACACATCATGTATGGCGCAGTAATTACAGATGTTGATGATTACCGAGACCTTATTATATACAAAGCAAATGATTGGCAACAAGTCATCCAATTGGCAACATATTAAGATAATCATGTGTTGCAGTTTAAGCCAGCTAACCTGTCTGCACTCTCACCTGCAGCAGTCCAAACTTGGTCTCCACGTCGTACAGTTTGTACTCCTTGATGTCGGTGGGCAGGGGGGTGGGCAGGTTCTCCCTCTGGCCCAGCACGTTGGCCAGACTGGCAAACACAGGCTCCGTGCAGAACGCCAAGCAGTCTCTGAGGGCCACACAGAACATCTACATTATTATTATTTGAAACAACCGCTTTGTAAATGTTGAGTTATTCCTCAACAGACACTTAGAGCAACATGAGGAAAGGCAAAACAGAAACATTTTTGAATTTTGAGTTTCCCCAGTTGTAAGTTCAAAAGAAAAAAAGGCAAAAAGAAAGTAACTTAAAGACAGCGTCAACCTTTTCTGGCCCTCAGGGGCATAAATTATTCAGTGTGCAGAGTCTTTGATCATGACAGGCTCCTGCTCACATGCACAAACAGAGGCAGGCAAATACATTTGTTATGCAACTTTGTCAAGCCCCTCTTTGAGGTGTGAATCTTTCCTTGGTATGTGTGTTTGTGACAGTGTGTGTGTTAATCACCGTGACTCTTCAAGAGGATGCTGCACAGTCAGGAGACGCGGGTGACGCAGTCTGGTCAGCTGTTGCACCCCTTTTTTCAGCGAATCCACAATTTGGTCCTTCTCAAATTTCTGATACTTATCAACCGTCTTCTTATCAAACACAAACACTGCGACTTCCTGAAGGGATAAAGAAGATCAACAAGGCACTGAAATGAGCTTCAACAAGGCACACAGCACATGCTTAGTCAGATTGTTCACATTTAAAATCAAACCTTTATGAATGGGGAGTGGGCAGGGGGAGGATATCAACACACAAACCTGTTTGGTGGACTTCTTGGTGCCGTTATAGATCCTCCAGCACAAGCCAGGACCCCCGCTGGCAATATGTCGTCCAACCTCAAACTCCCGTGTCACCGGGTTGCCCATAACAGCGCTGGTGACATCTGCCGTCACCTTGGTGACGGTGCTTTTTAGCTTATTAAGCATAGACTCCATGTTCACGCCTGACCTGGCAGCTAAAGTAAGAGTGTTGAAAACAGTGACAGAAAAATAAAAGAGGTACAGAACAGTCAGTCAAATGTCAGCAAAAGTCTTTTCAATCAATGAAAGAGGCAGCTTCATAATAAACCTTCCTAGCTCAGCATAACCCTTTAACATTCAGTTTGACACACACTTTAAGGCACCTGCTTGAATTTGCACAGTGCCCATTGGCTGAGCAGAATAAACACTGAATCAGCCCAAGCTGCCCTCTGAAATATAAAGTGACTCAGGGCAAACTAAGCAACACACCCCACGTTAAGTCCCTCTTTCAGAAATACTTCAGAGTGACTTGAAAAGCATGTTAGGCAACAGGAAGCCAGACAGAAGAACACGGCTGAGAGAAATGTAGCCAAATCATTTCATCATGAACTATTTCTTCAGGGTTTTCTAGGACTTTGATGTTTATTTCACTGCACTGCAACAAGGCTGAGTAAGCTACTGACTATACATTGAGATGCACACAGTGCTGTATGCATTATATATTCCTTACAGATTCATGCATTAATAATGATATTGAGCATCCGTATTAAACGGATCAACAAACTCTTTATCAGAAATTGAGGACCCTTGCCAAAAGCTACCCCAGCCAATTCTGTTAATAGAATCCCTGCTTTTACTGTACTTGTAACAATGTATATAATGCTGATATACAGTGTTACCCTGCACTTCCCTAAAGCTCGGACACTTATGTATCCTCAGCCATTGCCAACTACTGTAACACTACATGAACAGCAAAATGGAGGGTTCACAGAAATATGAAATCTATCAAAAAGTCAGTGTGTTCTTAGTCTTCGTCCTTTTGTACATTTCTTATAACAGCCAGATGTATTTAAATCTAACACAAAACAATATAGTGCAAAGAAGTAGAGCTGTGCTGAGAGGGATGCAAGATTTCAGGTCTGATATACTCAATTGTAAAATAAATCACAATAAAACTGCCATAACTGTGTCATCGCTCCTGGTTTACTGTGTGATGATGGTGGATAGTGGGTGGTCTGCAACCAAAAAAGACAAACCAAAGGAAACAAGATGTTCTAAATGCAGATCTATGGGTATTAAGCCCAATAAATGAACCATATTTGGTCAAATATTTCCCCTAGTATTAGGCTAGATTTAAAGATGTAATCTGCAACAGGTTTGTGTTTCTTATTATTATAGTTGTCATTTTGATGTCAAATTACACGTACATTATAATCTGCCCAGACAAACTGAGGTAGACTGAGCAGCGTTTCTAGACAAACACCTGCACATAGCCTAACTAGCCCAGTAGCTAGCTAGCTAGCTAGCCACCAAGATACCAGGCAGTTTATTATTACGAGCTTACTAACATAGTTATGATTTGACAGGGTATTCATTAGGTTAAACAACAATTTCAGCAACCGGTTGAAGCATTTCAATGGTTTATATGTCGCTTGTCAGGACTGTCACGTTTGATTGGGAAATAGCTGTATGTTAGCTAAATTAATCGCCTTGTTTAGCCTGTGACCAACGCATCATAACAAGCACAGCACTGTGACACTAACTAAGCAGTTATTAGGTACATGTCCTAAACATATGTGGCTTTATAAGGATGACATCATCGTTGCAATATGTTGGATACCGTGAAAGACTTTACAGCAAACCATCGCAGTAGCTACCTGCTAACAAGCCAACAATGCGCAAGTACACAGTGACGATTCTGTCATTACAAGAGAGATGGCTTCAGTCCTCACTGTCCCTCCGACAGCTTCCAGAAACATACCTTATGATGAACAGGGCTCTCCGTTTAATGTCTTGTTAAAAAAAGACTCTCAGCTGTCAGTAAAGGCTGAGAAACACAGCCCCCATGACTTCACTGGCATATGAAATGAAGTAGCTTTAGTGCGCTAGTAGTGAACGAACAACCCTACTTCCGGGTTGTCAGGCTCATCAACGTCATCAGAGTTTTTTTTATTATCTATTTTTCAGGCACTCCATAAACAAATATACTTTGCATACAATCTCGTGATTCTCAGTTTTCATAAACGTTCCAAAAGAAATAAGTTATGATGCACATAGTTATGGTATATTAAAGCCCCAGAAAAACCCATTAGTTGTATTAATAGCAGTAACAATTATACTTTCCAGACACTGCAAGAAAATGCACAAAGCATTATATTTGGAAAAATACTAAATATGAACCAACACTGGGAAAAAGACTGATATGACAAAACTGACTGTTTCTGATATTGTGTCTAATTGTATATGCTATGTAACTTGACACATGGGCTAAAAAAAAAAAATACATTAGAGTTGTTTGAGAAAAATTCAATTAAACTTTTATTAGACATGTTATTCAAACAGAAAATAAAGCTTGTTTCAGCATCATAAAGTGCAATCCAACATGATTTCAGTGTATGTAAAGAACAAAAGATACTAACTGAGATAACATTTTTACATCACTTATGCAAGACCATGGCTTCATTTATTAAAAGAATGCAATCAAATTGATGCGTTACCAAAGATTAAATAGGTTTCTTAAAATAACACTAAGTCATTATTAATTACACATCTTCCATAAAAAGGATCGTTGTCCAGCTTTCAAGTACAATTCTAAAAAGTTACAATTAAAAGGCAATTCCATGATAATGGCACTAAAGTATTCTTAAAACCCCTGAAAATAACATGTATTAACCTGATTAGCCTGGTACAATATTGCACCCTAGCAATTCATATTAGTTTTCATTATTAAAATCTTTAAATAAAGGTCTGTCTTCATCTCTAACAAAAACAATTTAGCATTCAACCTCATTCAGCTACATTAGTGTTGCATTTCCAGTATTTCCACTAACCACACAGCCTGCTACAGCAACACAGGGAGACAAAAGAGCCTCCCATAATATGATTATTCTTGATTAAAGTACTCAGCATTAATTCTGCAAACCACAGCTCCATTTCCAAAGTTATTCCAATAACCTATTCAAATACAGTCTCCACAGCAGGACCAAGAAGCACATCAATTATTTCAAAAGCGGTCCAACACTTGCAGCCTGCAAAACAGCTGGCTACATCTGGTGTCTGATCGCGCTTAAGGGTCATTTTCTTCAGTAATCCCTTCCGTTTGCACACACTACATTCTACAGTAATACCAGGACAATCCAGCACAGAGAAGCAAATGCCCTCAGTAAACATTATTCAACTTACAATATTAAATCAGCATCATGATTCTACAATTCAAAAATGGTTACTCATTTCATTTGACACATAATGGCAAGTGCAACAGATTACTACCCATGTTAAGGCCTCTAATGATAAAGATGAGCTGATAATGGATTATGTATAGACTCGTGCAAACTATTCACAACTATAATTAAGCTTTTGACTTAAAATGCGATTTTCATCAGATAGATAATGCATCTATTGCTACAAGAATGTAGCCAATGTGGGATAAAAAACGTGATGCAATATTTGCAAATAAAACCAATATTGTAGGCCTCTTGAGAATTTAAGGAATGTATGGAAGCTTTTGATTGGTTTTGGTACACATTATACAATTATTATCATTCTTCAGTGTAAGCGCTGTCCCACTACAAACTAGGGTTGTGAAGTGCACCTGGGAATTCAAACCAATAACCCTCCAGCTGTGCGTTTTAGAAGGTGCTGGAAAGATGCTGGAGGAAGACCACGGGGTGATGTTTTTCAAACTCTTTGAGCAGCCTCCTCCTCTCTTTGACGGGAATGGTTTTGCTCGAGGCAATATCATGAAGAAGTTGTTTTAGGCTGTGCAGAGTGGTAGCCTCTCGCTGATCCTCGTACTCCTCTGGCGTCACCTGCTGGCAGAATGTGAACGCTGCAACACACAGAGGGGGTCGTTTTCCACGTACAATTAGAAAATGTATTTGGGTTATTTCATGTGATGTTAGAAGGGGTATTGTTAGCAAGAGTCTGCACATTTATTTAAAGTTGTATTTGACTTACTGGCAATTGAGTCAGGATCTTGGCCCTGCCGCATCGTCCTCAGTGTTTTCCTCACAGATTCAACAAGGGACTTAGGAGTCTGTATTCATTAAGGGGAGAAAGGATCATTAAAATGATGTTGAAACAAATGTGAGTAGTTTTTCAACTTTATTCAATTACATCAGAAAAGCATGTTAGTGATAACTGATCAAAACATGAACGTGTACCTTGATGAGCTCAGTGCAATTGTCCATGAGGAACAGCACCAGGGTTTCGCTTTGGCATCGAGTCAGTTCAAGATTCTGGACGATTGCTCTCTGAAAAGTGCGGCACACCAAGGCCCTGTTATCGATCTGAAAGGAAACATATCACAAAGGAAACGGTGATTCAAACACATTTTACACTGATTCAATGGTGGATATAATACTACAAAATAAAGTTTGGATTCGAACAAAAAAAAGCAGTTGATCAATGTATAAAAAAAGACCTGTTTCTGCAGACGGCAGGCATCTGGGTGCGCTGCTGTGGCCATAAAGGTCAGTAGTCTCCGGAGTTCGTCTCTGACGCTCGTCTCTAGCAGCCGAAAACACAGCTGAGATGCTTGGATGGCATCCTGCACCTTCCCCTCATCTGGAGAGACACAAGACATGGTGAGGACAGGGGACGTCAAATATCAATTATCTCTACGACGGATTCATCTTAATGGACGGACACAAAAAAAATCACAGTTCACAATCCCATAAACCATTAAATCAGTGTAAAGTCTCACCCAGCAGTTTCAGAATTGCAGCATGTATGTCCAGGTAGCGTCCTGAGAGGAGTGGATATTTTTCCTGTCCACTGTAGTACTTGGCAATGGTGTCAAAGAGCAGTTTCTTTTGGCTGGCCACGTGCTCCGCCTGGTCGTCTTCTGAGAAGGTGCCGCCTTGTTGGCTGAGCTGTTCCCCAGCAACCACAATCAGCTGATCTGGAAACAGCTCTAAGCAGTCTGCTGCTGCCGACAGCCACCCATCCAACCTGTCAGCCATGAAAGAGAAGAGGTTTTTACTGTGGAATTCAATGTATGGAGACATTTCTAGACTGGTTTGAAGTTCAAACACAAATCAATTCAAGAAGCTGTACAAAATCATATATTTTTTAAGAGTTAGGGTTGGTACAATAAACATGTGGTAATTGTTGGATTTATCTTTGATTGACTTTGGGTTGTACATAAAAGCAATGGTGTAGTAAAATATTTAAGTAATGGAGAAAGGTATACGTCTTTCTACTCCTGTTTGATTATGTAATATTTAGTTTTTTTTATATTGTTTATGAGAATATCTTGTTGATTTCATTTGTATAATTGTTCCGTTAATTATTTGAAAGAGATTGAAAAAGTAAAAATCTCAGTAGATTTATTTTTGTATGACTACTTTGCAAAAGAATCCTGCAGTATTGATGGGAGCACTGACTGGGGCAGGTGCAGGCTGTCAGGCAGCTCTCGGTCCAGGAAGGTGTTGGAGATGACCAGGTCCTGTGAAGCCAGAGGAGCTCTGCAGGCCTTCAGCTGACCTCTGGCAGGAGAGGTCAGGATGCAGTCCAGCATGGGCAGCTCTACGATCTGCAGCAGCTGCAGCAGAGTCTGCTGCTTCCAGACCTCATCCACCACTACGGAAGAAGGAAAGAGGTACAAATATAAGGAAAAAAAGAATATTGGTCATCCATAAACTGTCATAGGCTGTTGTTCTCCATACTACTGAAGAAAGAGAACTCTATCTTACCAGCTTTGGACAGAAAAGCAGCAGCAGTGCAAGTTGTTTTTAAAGATGGAGACGAGGCTGGTCGCAGGTTGATGTTCCTCAGCAGCCTCTCCACCCTCCGATCTAATGGTCCCACAGCGAGGGGATTACAGATCGTCCGCACCTCATTCAGCCTTCTGCAACAACAAAAAGCATGATGGAGCTAAATACAGGGTTCCCACACATTTGAATGGTCACAGGTTTAACATTTGTTATGACTTCTCAAGGACCAATAATACAACTGTGACAATTCACAGCGTATGAGTACACATATACAAAGAGAATTGCATATTGCACTTAAAATGTATATTATTCTATTAAAACATTTAGACAATTTTTTTGATCTCTAAGGAGAACTAATATTTCCACAGGTTTGAAATTCTAATTTCTAGCTTTTTCATGATGGCGGGAACCCTATTTTTAACCACTCACTTAGGTCTATTTAGAGAAGCTGAACCTTGATATAAAAAGTAAGGATCTTTTGGGTATGTCTGTCAATAATGTCAAACACTATTGAATTGAATAGTTAATTATGAAGTTGTTTAACTTCTGAAGGGATTATTTACTCACCTTCAATGCTTCATTTTTAGGAAAAAACCTGGCAAATACATCATAAAACATATAATAAAATCAAAGAAGCTGTCAATGCTGCCAATATATCAATAGCAAAAATGGCTTCTACACTACAGGACAGGGAATTGAAAGTAAAGCCTACCTGTAACTCTTCTTCCTCTTTAGCCCCTGTTCCTCTGGAGGCATGTTTTCTGTGTCACTATTGCACTCCTTCATGGCAGAATTGGGTGACACTTTATATTCCAGGAAACGGTAAAGGCTGCAGCTGCTGTCCTCAAAGGTCACTTCTTTGTCCCTGCGAAACAGCTTGGTTCCCACTGGTTCGAACACCTTGGCCTCCATCAGAGCCTGGCACAGTCGAGCAGCTTTGAGGCGAGACACTTCACTCGTGCAAAACACCACATTCTGCATCAGATAGCTGAGGACGGCATCCACAGCGTCTGAGCCCGTGAAACATTCGGCATGAACGCGCAGATGCCTTCTACATCGGCGCACCTCCACCTGAGTCTGCAGCGCCCGGATGATGTTGTGCCACAGCTGGGTGGCCCCGAAAGGCCCCGAGAAGCCTGTTAGCAGACAGAGGGTTAGAGTGAAAAGGGGA